GCGGTGAGCCGTTCTCTGCGTCCGGGCGGCGGCCGCGGCGGCGTCACTCGGCCGAGGAAGCACGCCGTGGGGGCACGCTCCCTCCTCGTCCCTGTCCCTGACTCGTGCCCGGGCACTTCTGAGGCTGCAAGAGAGCAGGAGGGCGGCGAGGATGGCGTCTCGCGACGGGCCCATGGTGACGGGCACGGACGGCACGGACTTCGTGCACAGGGAGACCGTGGCCTCCCACTACCACATTAGGTGAGTGTAACGCGATGCGCCTCCGCCGAGTATTCCTGGCACCGGCGCCTGGCACTCCCCGGCACTCTCGCTGGGCACTCCCGCTGCAGCAATCTGGCTATTCCTTTATATTTCTATTACCGCCGTAAAATGATGCCCAGAATGGGGTCGGGGAGGGCAGGGGCACGGCTCGGCACGTGCCCAGCTGCCCGCATGGGGCCCTTGTGTCATGCGGACGCGAGGGGGGGAGGAGAGGGCACCGTATGGGAGTTATGTAATAAAAAACCCCAAACTCAGAATGGCAGGTTATTGAACCTAGGCCATATGTTCAGATTCGCTAATGAAGAAACTGCCAATGAATAAGTTCTTAATTTACTTATGACAAATTCCTTTCTCCCTAATCACCCTAGTAGTGGACTGTAAGCCTCCTCATGATGATTGGAACAAAGTTAAACATTCCAATAACCCTATATTAGCGTAGAATAGGGTGGCCATATGTAGCTGCCGTGTTAGGGCCCAACTTGTTGCTAAGGAGGTAGTTCTCCATTCCCTTATTTTGGATGTTTTTTTCTTTCGCTGCCGGTCAATTAAGTGTTTGAGCGAGTGATTAAGATGCAGAGCTGTCGTGGCTGATTTTTAATAAGGGTTAAGTGTAAGGGTAATATTACTGGCTATAAAAAGTATTCTTACGAATTCTGTTGAAAATATAATTGAAGTACAAATTTCCCCTTTTATTCAATATGCACTGCTCAAAGCCCATGTAAATGCAGTTTATAATACATATGAATGTAGGGAATTTATATGGATATATAGCAACAGTTTGGAAATATGTCCCCCCATATTGGTGTAACTGCAGTCCCTGTCGATACTCCGACAAAGGCCAACACGCTTCCTCCAGCCATAACCTGGAGGAAAGGTGGCAAGAGGTTTATTTGCCTTGTGCCAGGCTCGGAAAATGTGGAGTTGTTAGGTAAGGTGCCATATTCATGTTCAGTTAATGATAGAAAGCTTTCCGTCACAGATCACAGCAACTTTCTTGTGGACATGGATAGCGCAATCCATCCCATCGCTTAAATGTTTCAAAAATGTGGAAAATTTACTGATTAGTTATAAATACACACATAATTTTGACATAAGGAAGGTCATGTCAAGTTGTCACAAATAATGAAGTAATTTTTCATTGACATGTGAAGAGAGGAAATATATTTTCAGATATATCAATATTGTGGATCAACCAAGTACATTTCCATCATTTATAATTTAATTGTATATATATTTTTTATCTTAACTCCTTCACATTAATATTATTAGTATTGTAATGACTAACATTCCATATGATCTTTTTTCAGAGCTTGGATATTTGAATACAAAGAGATATTGTCGTTTCCTTGTCTGTGTCTGTTTGCTAGTCTTATTTAGGAAACAAAATTAATTCATAATTACTCTGATATTTCTTTTCTTTGCATCTTCCATCTAGCCATGAATTAACTTGTATTTATTATTTTTATTGGGTAGTTATTTTACCATTCATAGTGGGTGTTTGCTTTAACAGAGGGCTAAGAGCATGATATTTTACCAATATTTTCATGCATATGATCTGTAATCTATTATAAATGTATGTTTTCTAGATAATCTTTCCTTTTTCTTACTCTCATTTCATATTATTAAAGTCGTGGGACAATATGTAGTGTAAGATAGTGGCAGAGTTGGGTAATAAAACCTACATGAAATGATAGAACAATATAAACCAGTACAAAGTTCTATAGCAATATGTGTGCAAATGCTTCCCAAGGGTGCTAGGTATATATATTACCATGGGGGTCCATGGAATATATACCACGGTGTTAGGTTAGGTTGGATATTGGGTCAGGTCTCCCATTTGCAGAAGGAACAATGTCTAGAACCGCTGAAAGCAGTGGATTTCATGCAGAAAAATATGAAAATTGTTTCGAAAGTAACCCATCTTCTTTTTTCTTTTACGTATAGCACCCTTGGGAAGCATTTGCACACATATTGCCATAGAAGAATTTTGTCTTGGTTTGTATTGTTCTATCATTCTACATATCTATGTAGGTTTTATTACCCAACTCTGCCACTACCTTATACTACATATTGACCCAGTCATGTCATGGCTCCCAGTTCACATTTTGGATTTTAGTCAAGATGTAAGGCTATAGTGAAATGTAGATGTCAGAAATAATGTTTTAATATTATAAACACTATTTTTTCACATCCTACACAAAAGAGTTCTTTGAGTTATGAGAAGAATGAATGGTCTTGCTAGTAAGTCCTCAGTTTTTAGAAGTTAAGAAGGTGCACATCCACTATTGAGTATTATTAATTTTTCCAACAAACTTCATACAGATCATAAAGTGAAGTCCGACTCAATTTCAACCAGTTCACACCAAGTGACATGTACTCTTCCCTTGATGTACTAAGTCCATATGCTGGTTGGCAAATATCCATGTCATATACTGTCAAGCTTAATGTATTTTACATGTATTAAGTAGTTATTAGTTTGTATTGCCCTAACTCCTGTCATTAATTTGATACAGCCCTCAGAAGTCAGTTTGAAGTCTCTCTTTAGCCTCGGTTTTGAAAGGGTCATAAACAGCATGTACTTCCCATGCTTCTCATTTTTCACACATGCAGGACCCAACATGTATATTATAGTTAAAAGCTGTAGTCGTATTGTTAAGACTAGCAAGTAGGCAGCTGATTGACAGACCTGCACTGTTCTTTGCAAGTCCACAGCACACTTCTCACTCTCCCAACCCATACTGATCGCCAACCTTTGTAGTTAGTTGTGCCACCATGCAGTTTAAAAGACTGACAAGAGCTACATATATTATATAATTCATTTAGGGATGTGTTTGTGGATTGTGTACATGTAAATATATACACATGTACATGTCAACACCATACATGCTGTATCTCTACATTGTAACATAAAAAATGTACAGAATAATAAAAATGAAAAAAGGAAATTGTGGTCACAAGAGTACATTTGGAATTAGCCATACATGCTGGATAATCCCTGTTTACTATTGAAATACAGCTAGGTGGTAGCAAAAGGTACATAGGTGATTACTGTAACTGTTTCTGTGTGAGAACTCTTTACTTTTATCAAGATGGCTAAAGCAGCAGTCAGTGCTGTATTATTATACAACTTCATCTTATCTCATAGAAACAGTTCAAGGTTGTTTGATATCTGTGTGTTAAGATATCATTATGCATTTTAATCATATAGGTAATTGTAAAGATCTTCAAATTCTTTAAACTTATTACAAAAAAGAACACTCCTTCTTTATCATTTCCTACTACAATTTGCCAGTCAAAAGAAAGAAATAAGAAATAGGACAAGATTTAGATTATATTAAGTGGAAATAAGTTGATGATGCTGGCACTTCATTTGTCAGTACTCGTCAGAACAACTATCATCAGCTGTGATATATTCTTTTTTTATTGTGAATGACTTCTATCTTTTACTCTAAAGATTGAAAAAGAGCAGAAAATGATAAGGATGGCTTGACCTTGCCTTTCACGGTGTTTGTTGAAAATACCAGCTTTTATAATCATTGTTTCTTACTGTAGGGGAAAAAAATAGAGTTTTTGTAATGGGAATGATAGTCCATGATTTTGATATATTAATCTTGATTGCTTAAAATTCACATCTTGTTTTGTAGTTAAAAGTAGCTATGGATGCCTTGTATTACACACTAAACATTTGCATAATGAGAGAGAAAGTACTGCATGACCGAAGTGGAGTATCTTCATTAATCTTTTGTCATTCACCCAACCTTCCTCGATACAATCATCACTGTCGGTTTCAACACAGTAACCCTCTCTCTTCACCCCAGTCAAGAAGGACCAGTAGTTCAGGTAGCTCTTTTGAAGTGTCAGTTGTTGCTGCCAAATCTGTTGAAGTGATATATACCCAGATGGCCATCCCTTTGATAATTGCGCTGCTGCTGAACTTTGGCAATACACCTTGAATATTTGGAGGAGACTTTATAGGTTTTGTGGAGTGTAAAGATGCTCATACTCTCCCTCAACCTTCCCTTCTTCTCTTTTAGATAGATGTTCGATATATGCTTTACTTTGTCTCACTGTGTGCCGTGTTGATAGTTTTCCATATTTGGAGTAAAGATCCCTCAGTAAGAGTTGAGTTTAAATTAGAATCCTGTAATATACAGTGGATTTTTTATGCATTTGGTTTTGTGGCAATGAATAATAATATCCCCTAGGAGTATGGAAGTTAATTTCTTGTTTTTCTGTATTAATTTTTCAACATAAAAAATAGTAAAAGAACAGTCAGAAAAAGTATTGGTACAAAAGGATATTAATTAAATAGACCAGATGATTAATAAGCTTTCAGATTTTCTTAGTTATACACCAATAACAGAATGGGCTACAGGGGAAGGTAACTCACTTTATTGTTTGAATCTTACAGCTGGCCTCTCAAGAAGAAAGTGTCAGAAGTGTAAGTGATAAGGCAGGCCCCTGTCATCTCATTACTGGTCTAATATTACTGCTTAGAACTTGCTGGTTAATGTAGGTGTTTTATAATGCTAGATGACATGAAATATAGTGTCTTTGGGTGATATTAGGCCAGTAATTCCAGGCAGTTTGCCTGAGTGTGGTGTAAAGATCCCTCCAACCCTCTCTATAACAGTACTCTACCTGGATGTCCTGTGCATGTTCAGTGAGAAGAATTGTTTGCATCAGTGGAATGAGAACTCAACTGTCTTCTTCACTGTGCCAGAGAGGGTGGTAGACTTCAGGAAGATTAAATTTTCTTCTTTCTTTTTTCTTTTCAAAATATTGACTTTTTTGCTTTTAAGGAGAATCATTTCTTGGATCAAATCATTAATTTCTTTCCAGTTGTTAGGGAATATTATGTGCCGAGTTCACAATGTCAATAAAGCAAAGCAGAGCAAGGGAAAAAATCAATTAAAAAAAAAAACTGCTGTGACAGTGATAAAAACCGACCTCAGTAAAACATTTCAGTTCCTGGTTCTTTTAGTGCTAATTGCATGGTGACACCTCCCTGGCATAAACCCCTGGTCCCTCTGTGCTGGCTGGGTGGCTCGTGACCTTATTGACTTGTGTTTCTTGCCTTTCACCGTTGATAAGGGTGAGATTTTCCCGCACTTCCTTGCCCTTTGATAAAATTCACTCTTGATATATGCAAGATGACATTGGTGTCAGCAGCATTAACAAACTTTTGGAAGACAACCTATTTGTATGTTTTCAAAAACTGAACCATTTTTTGAAGGAGGAAATAAACCAGTGGTGTACAAGACTCTCTTCTTTTTTTTCTTTTTTTTTCTTTTTTCTTTTTTCTTTTTCTTTTTTCTTTTTCTTTTTTTCTTTCTTTTTTCTTTTTCTTTTTCTTTCTTTTTCTTTTTCTTTTTCTTTCTTTTTCTTTTTCTTTTCTTTTATTTTATTTTATTCATTTCCTATTTACTGCTGTGTTCTACATGGAAATGCCCAGGTACCCTCACTAACTCTCTCATCCAGGCACATGCTATTGAATCTTTGTGGAGTTTGTTCCCTATAACTCCTTGATTTTTTTTTTTCTGTTCACATGTATTTCATAATATGATCTACATTTTAGTGATCTGTGTCACTCGACTTGTCTCATGTTTTATGGTTTAATGTTACCCAACCATCTTGTGGTATTCAAATCTTTCTAGCAGGTAGATATGTGCCTCATTTTCTTCTTTCTCTTCTTCTTCTTCTTCACTTAAAGGAAGAGTTTACATATTCAGTAATCCATCCGATTTTAAGAAGTAAAGATAGTTTATTGGGATCAGTAAGGAGCAAGAAGGAACTGGTTAATGGCTCTCATGATGTATAGGCTCACATCCTAAGCAACAGCCAGAGAACACTTGTAAAGTGATTCTGTAGATAAAGTTCCAGTATTTATATGACCATGTATCTTAGATAATGTATTTTATGCATCGTATTTCAATCTTGGAATCTCATGAGAGTTGGCAGTTCTATTATAGTAATAGACTGTTTCAATATCATCAACCTTCTAATATATTTATTATTGTTTAGAAAGGAAAGAAAATTTTCACTGTGTTCAATAAGGCAGTGCATTATTGAAATTGGGAATTTAATTGCTAAAGTCAGTGTATATTCTTATACTGAACAAAGTTATAGATTTTACCAAAATTTCTTATTAAAGCCTTTTCCTTTTGCTTATAATAAAACCTGCTTTGTCAATGCAGACATACTCATGACTATAAGGATATCAGCTATATATATATATATATATATATATATATATATATATATATATATATATATATATATTTTTTTTTTTTTTTTTTTTTTTTTTTTTTTTTTTTTTTTTTTTTTTTTTTTTTTTTTTTTTTTTAGAGCAGATATAACAACCTTTATAAAAGCAATGTAGTCACCATCTTATCTTATTTGTCTGCTTGTTCAAATTCTTCATACCACTGGTGATGGATGGGGTGTCAGCAAGTAGGTGACAGGACAGCATCATGAAAACAGATCATATTCTCTTCCTGGATAAATCCCCAAGTCATTATATACATTGAACCCACCGATCTCATTTACCCAAGACAACTTGTCTCACTTTCAGTTTGCATGTTATGATGTTCACAAGAAATGATTATTCTAGATATCTCCATATTGAAAGAGTTGTTAGAATTTTCTTATGTTTGCAGGGTTTATTCTATGCCATTATGTCTGTCTATATTTAAAGCAGTAGAGTAATGAAGGGCATCACTTGTGTCTTTTTGCCTTTGTTTAATTAATGATAAGAAAATAATCATGGGAATGTTGTAAAGATTATAAAGCAAATTTATCACTTTTTCTACTGCTTTGGTGCAGATGTTATGTCATGTTTTACAATTGTTACATCTTTGGCAGTGTGCTGAACAAAGGACGGCTAAGAAAATGTGTGTTTTCACACCTCCTTCTGGCCCTCCTGATGGTGGTGAAGATGGTTCCCGACTTTCTCGACAGATTGGACATATTCGTACTCGAAATTGAAGAATTAGAAGTTCCGCAGGTATTTATTACCAAGCTGAATGTTATTAATAATATATTGCCACTTTTTTCTTTTCTTTCTCCCAATTTAGATGAACTTTTCCAACACTTTTTTAATTAACTGACACCTTAAAACTGATATACATGTAAATATAAAGAACATTTTTGATAACCTTTTGATGATCATTCCAGCCTCTCAAATGGGAATACGTGTGGCTTGTCGGATCCCTTGCCAGTTTCCTCGGCCTGATTGCTATAAGAAAAAATAGAGTATTGCTTCTACAGGTAAGCTGACTTCAGTTCATAGTTGCATTGATGAAAAGACAGAGGGATAGAGAGGGAAAGAAGGGGGGGGAGTGAGAAACAGAGATTGGGGGAAGAGTAAATGAGAGAGAGTGGGGATGAAAGAGAGACAGGGAGGAGTGAAATAAGGAAAGAGGGGAGTGTAAGAGAGAGAGAGAGAGAGAATGTGTGTGTAAAATATGTACAAACTTTAGTTGTCTTTACATACAAGCTTCACTTAATTGCTTTTAAATTAACCTCCTATTATTGTCTTATGTTTACCTTTGTTTTCCAGATATACTTTGGTCTTATCAACCTCTTCTCAACGGTGCCAATTCTCTTGGCTGCCATGATCTATTTCTCCGAATTCGTTAAATACTGCTCTGAGGAGGAGCCTGCAGGTCTACAGCTATGGCAGGTTGGTGAACCTATAAGGCTTTGGGATATTTTAACTGGAATTAGCAATGGCTGTGATGGACCGAGTTGCTGCTAACACCACACAGTGACACACAACGTGCCAACTGCTCATCAAATGGAGTTCATCTTTCTCTGATAGTAGTGACATTTCTTTAATGTCGCTGTTTGACACAAGCATTCAAAGTGAAGGAAAACCTGAACCTTACTTTTTTCTTCTTATTCTTCTCCTCCTCTTCCTCTTTTCTTTATTCTTCTTATTCTTATTCTTTCTTTTCTTTTCTTTTCTTTATTTTATTTTATTTTATCTTATTTTATTTTATTTGTTTTTTTTAATGAAATAAATGTATAAGCTAATAGGTATCCAATTCCAAGAATGGGGGAAACTGGCAATTCGCACCAAGACCACCACACTACAGGTCACTAAGCATTTTCCTGTTCTGCAGCTAATGGGTTATGTAGTATGTGTTTGGGTGAAGGAAAGAAATTGACTTGAGTTTGGTGACCCTAGCGGATCATATGGAGTTTGTTAGGTTCGAAGGCTAAAGTTTGTAAAGAGGCTCATGGAATTTCCTTTCGTATCTCTCGAGTGCAAATAATCCTCATAGGAATTGCCGTGGATAAATACAAATTTTCTGGTTGTTGGCTATCTTGGTCACTTAACTTCCAACCTCTTTTTTATCTGTTAACCCATTGCCGCTAGGGAAGATGAACCAAAAAATGGGGAAAATGCTGTGCCTATTTTCTATATTTTTTTAATTTTCCCGCAAAAGTATTTTTCACAAGTGCCATGAATATTGATGGTGCTATTTTTGTTATAAACATTATAATTATTATAACGTTTTTTAACATTAGTAACAGCAAAATAAGATAACGTAAAATATTTCGTAAATCAAAGAAAAGGGTGAACAGGCGAGACAGGCGGTACTCGTAACTGGCTCATTGGTGATTTAGTACAATTGTAGCCATCTATGTGTGAAAACAATCAAACAAGTAATCTCACAGTGGGCATAGCATGGCATGCCCGACAGCAATGGGTTAAACCCACTGGCACCTGGTAATTGTCCTGGATGCAGTAGTTTTGTTTTTGTCTAATATTATTATTATTATTGGTATTGTTAGTAGTATTGACATTAGGATTGTTATATTAGTATTATCAGTACTTTTAGCAGTAACAGGGGTGTAAAGGATTAACAGATGAGATGAGGTAGGACTAGTAACTGATTCATTGGTGACAGTGGACTTTGCATGCACTTACTTGCCATCAATGAGTTGTGTGTGATTCTATCAGAAATGAGACATTCTTTAGAAGTTTCCTACAATTTCAGAGTGATTCACAACAGGATTTAGAATCCATCTTGGCAACTCTTCCAAAATTAATCTTTTTTTTTTTCTTTCTTTCTTTCTTTTTTTCTTTCTTTTCTGAAATTCATGTAAACAGCTGTTGGAGGTGGTTCTAATCATTTG